GGGGGGGGGGGGGGGGGGGGACTAGTCCGCCCGGTCACCCCCTTTCAGGATGACTCTCGCGTAGAGCCCCCGGCCGGGGAGAAATGCGGAGACGCTAACGCGCCTGGCCGAGGCCCCCGCGCACCGCGAGAACGAGCCAGCGGCCGCCCGGCCGGGCCCGAGCCAACCAGAGCCAACCAGGCCGAGCGAGAAAGAAACAGCCCCCTGGGGGGCCATTCGCGGGCCCCCCCACTCAGCCGGCCATCCCCCCCGCTGATGTGCATGCGAAGAGGGCCCGACAAGTGCGCCCGGGGGATGTGCATTCGTGTATGCGGTGCGAGCAGCACAAGAGGGGACGAGAGAGCGTGAGGCCGGGCGACTGGTGGGTGGGGGGGGGGGGGGCCGGCAGCCGGCACCTCGAGATTGATCTAGCACCTTCGAGGGACCGGTCCGAGATATTCCCGACGCCGGGGCTTTTATTTTTCCAGGGCGGACGCCCGGCCGGCCGGCCGCATCCCTTTCCCCCACGTTCTCCGTGCCTGTGCGCCAGTAGATCGCGCCCCACAGGCAGCCGCGTTGCTCCCCCGCCCCCCCCCCGCTCTCCTGATGAGAGCTTCAGCCGGGAAGAACCGCCGAGAAGGCCTGTCCGGCGGGACCTGCCCGCCCCGCCCGGAAAAACCACAACAACCAATCTCGGTCGGTGTGTGCACATACACACACACACACACACACACACACACACACACACATGCACGCACACGGGCACGGCCTGGTCCCCCGGGCGGGCGGGGGAGGCCGGCAGCGCAGGCAACCAGAAGATTGGTGCTTGCGGACGGGCGGAAACATGCCACGATGTTGCGAGACACCCGGGAGGGGGAGAAAGGAGACCGAAGAGCCACCTCCCGGCCCGAGCACGTCGCGATCGTCCGGCGCCGGGATCCAGAGTGGGACATATGCCGGACAAAAGAAAGCGAGGCGGGGCGAGAGAGAGAGAGAGAGGGAGAGACACATTGAATCTTGCACCCATGAATACCCCACGGGGAAAGGGGGGCGGAACAGGGACCCGGCGCGGGGCCACACATCCGGGCCGCGCGCAGGCTCCCGGCTTAAATACCTCCGCACCGGGTCCCTCCCCGCCCGCGCGCCGCCCCGATGAGGCGACCTTGGTCATGGGCTCACTGTCTCAAGCCACCGAGACCATCGCTTGTCCCTTGGTGGAGGCGCGCACGTTTTCAACACGCCAAAAGGAGATATTATTATTGTGCGAATATCTTGCCCTCCGTCTGCCGGCCGTTTACCTGGCGATCCTCCCCCCCCCCTTCCTCCCCGAGGGGCACCGCAACCATCCTGGAGGAGCCGAGGCCGCCCGCCGGAAAACCGCACGCCGTGCCGGCAGTCCAGCACACCAACACCCCGCCCCCCGGCTGGGCCGGCGGAATGATCTGGAAGCCATGCAGGACTGCCGGCGCATTGCACGCCCGGGTGGATCACGAGGGCAGCATCACACGAAATCCCAGGGAGCGCGCGTTTTTGGAGATGGCGGGGATTTCCCCCGGGCATCGTCCGCCGGCGTCTGTTTTTGGGGGAGCGCGCGCGCGCGCGCCCGGGTTCGTGCTGCCTGCTGCCGCGCTCATCCCGGCCCGAGGGGGAGGGTGTATCTTCCCCGGCAGGGGACGCGCGGCTCATGCGGCCCGCCGCGGTGGCCGGATGCGGGGCAGGGGGGGGGG